AGCCTTCCCCGCTGTTACTGCAATGCTTGATGGTAAAGGATGCAGTGATCATTAGTGTGGTTTGGTGCTACTGCTTGATTTGTGCTCTGTTAACAGCAAGTTTGATTCTTCATTGCTTTGCTCCATCTTGTGCTAATGTTAATACTGTGAAACAAGGAAATGTTGTGATATTATTATAAAAATAGGTTTGACATTTTAGACCCAAACTCTCTGCTCTAGGGAATGGTGCTTATTTATAAGGTGACCTTCCCCCTAGCTCCGACTCTGCACCAATTGTGTTAATGGAGTGTTTTGAGGATCTCTTTACTCTCTAAAAGTCCAGATTTGAATTGCTGGACTTTTAACCACTAGCACCTCTGTGTTTGCTCTTCATCAATGGCAGCTTGTACCCATTAGCCTCAGAAGGCCTTGTCTTCAAACCACGTACATCCTAGCCAACAGCCTGGTAATCACAGGGGATTCACAGATGTCTTTGTGACCAGACCCCTCTCCTTCCATATCCTACCCTGCAGATTCTGGTCAGCTCTTTGTATATGATTATTCGAGAAGGAGAATTGAGTAGCCAGGAGGCTCATCTTTTGGTTTTCCTTCTTTTAAGAATCACAATTTAGAACCACTGTTGATCCCTGCCTTCAATTATTTGGTTCTATATTTGTCTGGCGGCTGGAGCGATAGCACAGCGGGTAGGGCGTTTGCCTTGCACGTGGCCAACATGGCCGACCCGAGTTCGATCCCTCCGCCCCTCTCGGAGAGCCCGGCAAGCTACTGAGAGTATTCGATATGCCAGACACAGTAACAACAAAGTCTCCAATGGAGACGTTACTGGGCCTGCTCGAGCAAATCGATGATCAACGGGAGGGCCTTTTATATTTGTCTGGCATTGTAATTGTTTACGTCAGGGAGAGCGGGTTAGCCTGATACAGTTATACAACCATGACTAGAAACCAAAGGCCTCAAGTTTAATATTGGTTGTTTTATTTTTATTTCAGACATATTTGATAGCTCTTCATGTTTGCTTTCACATTTTGAGTAGTTTCTTCTCAGCTTGTCTGTTAAAATAAGTACAATAAACATAGTGTTTTTTTTTATCATCTGGTAGAAGTTATTATGGGTCTGTGTTTGTATTGTCTGTTGCCACTCGTTATTTCTGTATTTTAGATTCATGTTAGACATGAACCCATAGTTTAGTTCTCTTGACTCTTTACCATACAGTTATTGACAGGAATTTTTTTTTCTTTGATAAACATACCATGTCCTGAGTGAATGAGCATATATCTGCCAGAACTCTGGCCTACTGCCAGGTAGGGCTGCCACAAATCAAAATTAAGGCTTCAGAAATCTTTGATAGTGCCCACAGTTTCTAACCAAAGCTCCAACTCTGTAGTAGTTGACATTGACTAAATCGTCAGCTTGGGAGGATAACCTTATTGTGTGGTTGTGAGTCTTTCGTAGGGTCCTTACCCCTGTTTTTTCTAAGAATGTCCTTTTATTTCATTTATTTAAAAGAATTCTTTTTAATTGAATCAGTGAGATTCACAGGTACAAAGTTGTTCTTGATTGGGTTTCAATCATAGTGTTCTGGCACCCTTCCCTTCGCCAGTGTACATTTCCCACCACCAATGTCCCTGGTTTCCCTACACCTCCCTCTCCACTCCCCCACCCCCATCTCCGGTCCTCCCTCCCTCCCTCCTTCCCTGCCTCCCTCCCATTGGGCATCATTCCTTATCTATTTTTAATAGAGGCTCACCCAGTGGTTCTGAAGGGACCTTAGGCCACTCTGAGAGAGAGTTCAGTGCCTGAGTTTAGTATGCCCAGGGGCCACCAGGATGATCTCTTCTTCACACCTTTACCCCCAGGGTGATCTCTTCTTCTTCCTTCCCCCCCTCGATTTCTTTTCTTGTCTGTCTTTCTCCCTATGTCCTGGGGTGAAAGGTGATCTAGGATCCCCCTGACTACATTACATTTCACTGTCTAGTTACTCTGTATACCATGCAAGTGAGATCATCCCATGTTTGTCTTTCTGGCGTACTTCACGCAACATATCTTCCAGCTCCACCCAGGTTGCAGCAGATTGCATGATTTCATTGTTTCTTGCAGCTGTATAGTATTCGTGTGTGTGTGTGTGTGTGTATCATATCATCATGTTTTCATAGTCCATTCATCTATCTTTAGATACTTAATGTTGATCCCATATTCTAGCTCTTGAGCTAAGTGCTGCAGTGAATAATGGTGTGCATATGTCTCTTGAATATTTTTTTTTTTTGTCTTGGGGGAAGGTGCCTCAAAAAGTGAAATTGCTGGGTCATATGGCAGCTTAATTCTAAGTTTACTGAAACCCCTCCATATGTGAAAAATATAGTTATATTTAAAATAACCAAAATGGCAAGAAATCTTCGTGGACCATCAGTTGTCTGTGGCCAGAGATTGGAAACCATTGATGTAGTCCTTAAAGTTTAAATACTTTCAATCTGATTCTTTCCAGGAAAAATAAAGATCTGACTATCTGGCTCTAGGACATAACACTGAATTAGTAATTAGTGGTAGAGTTGAGTATAGGCAGCTTCTATATTTTAAAGTGCTTTAAATATTGCCAGTAGCCCGTGTCTATTATTACTGTTTTGTTAGTGCTTTAGCATGCCACTTTTTGTTCTATATAATCCTGTTGATACTGACCTTTTATAAAAGTTAAGTTTAGGTCTTTTCTACTTACAGATTCTTTTCTTGTTCCCAAGACTCTTGGGTTTAATCTTATCTAGTAAATTAAAAATGGTCAATTGTTTTCTAATGGGGATTTTGTTATTAGCAGCTAGCTTCTGGTTCAGAAAATTCAGCCTCTTCCCCTGTCACTGTGTTGCTTTGCACTGGATGTTTCTGTCAGTTCAGGTTCAGTTACAGAGATAGTTGTGGCACAGGCATACTTTGAGGGAAAAAATTCTGCTAGAAGATTGCTCCTGTTAAGCACTAAAAGCAGAAGTGCCACAAAAGTAGAAGTTGTAAATATAATAAGTTATAAAGAGATTATAGGTCAGAAACTGCTTATACACAAAATTAAGATTTGAGGTACTTTTAGAATAGTAAGGTTTTGAAAGTGTTATCTGTATCACTCATTAAGCTGCAAAATGAAAGCCCCCGTTATATTTTTTGTCCATCCTGTTAAAAAAGCATGTGACTTTACTTTTTCAAATGCAGGTTCTAAAGTTCTTGAAGCATGGAATAAAAACCTCTGCTTTTCATGGCAGCTGCTATTTGTTTTTCTGTCCTTTACTTATGTGATCCATAAGAACTAAAGAAAGAAAATATTAATATCTGTCAGTTTTACATTTGATACGTGAGTGTTTCATAAGAAAGGCTGTTTACAGACCTAATTTTTATGTAGGAATTTCTTGAGTAAAAAATATTGCTGTGAAAGCTTATTCTTTATAAGGAAAGAGTTACCATATTTTATATATAGTCGCACTCACTGTTTTGACTTACTCTTAAAGCAGTTTGTAAACATCTGTAAAATAATTATGTGCATTGCTTACATTCAGTTATGAAATAATATAGAAAGCCTTGGGCATAACTCAAAGCATCTTCTCAAACTATGCTAGCTTTTATTATGCCATATTGGAAAGTATCTTAGATTTAATGCAAGGAGCCCTGATAGTTAGTGCCCCACCAGTGTTGTCCTACTTCTAGATAAGGCTATTCCTTTATTCATTTTAACAAAGCCATTAACTCGGTGGCTTATGAATTAAATGCAGAACTTCAAAAACAGCAGACTTCTTATTTAGTGACATCTGAAAAATTGCCTTTGAAATAGTCCAAGAGAATTGGTTTTCTTTTAGCACGGAACTGTAATGAATGAAAAAGTGGGACTCATCAACTGTAGTGACTCAGGTGTTTTGAGATATTATATAACATATGCCTTTTAACTCTTTAGTTGAATTCAGTATTTCTGCTTTGTTTTAAATATATGCCACAGTAGCATTGTAAAGAGTAGCAACTTTTATTCTCTCCAAAAATATACAAAAACATAACTAAACTTATTAGAATAACTTACATTGAACTGTGCTTAAAAAACATTATTTTTTAAGTATATTAATTTTAACATTAGTGGCCAATATGATGATGACAGCTTTTCCCCAGGTCCACACATATCAGATAATGCTGAGAAATGTTTTGGCTTGATAAATTTCTGTATCTGAATTTTACTTATTAAAATATATATATTAAGACAAATAGATTTATGTACTTGGATTTTTACTTATTACTTATAGGTATCTCAATTTTTTTTTTGTAGTGGCCTCCGTATTAAAGACTTCTTTATAGCTAGTTCCTACTTAATATAGCATGAACAGCATTTATTCATAGATAGTGATTGAGTGTTCAGTTTCTAAAAATTTTCTGATGAAAGAATGATTGTAGATGCAAGTTCTTTCTTATTCTTTTTTTGTGTGCAGCTTAGCTGCAGGGGGCCAAGCTACATGCTTTACTATATCTGTTAAACTTCTTGGAAGCAAGCCAGTGAGTTTCATATGTAAGTGGTGAGCCTCTAAAAGGCATGCACAGTATTACAGCTGCTCCGGGGAGAGAAAGTGTTAGGACAACCCAGCAGTCAAGCTACAGCAGCAACAAGCAGCCACGGCAGTGGTAAAGAGAGGGCTACTCATGGCATACTTCACAGCACGAGACTGTGAGCAGCACAGCATCCTGCTTTCTGGAAAGAATCAAAACAAAAGTGTCCATTGCCAGATTTTTTGAGTTTCATGTTTATGATGTGAAGTCATGTGACCCTACTGTACCATAAGTTGCCAACTTCGCTGTACTCGAGAGACGGTCCTTTACTGCAGTGCTTTTTTTCCCCTTCCCTTTTTCCGGCTCTTTTTTTTTTTCCCCTCTTAAAAGATAAAAGAACTGTGCAATGTATGTTTATGCCTACACCATGCCGAGGCGACACTTACCAGTAAATAATCTTTGTGTCCCTGAGGTAAGATACTGTTTCTGCTTTCCCTGCACAGTGCTGCTGCAGCACGGAGCGGATCCAAACATTCGGAACACAGATGGCAAATCGGCCTTGGACCTGGCGGATCCTTCAGCAAAAGCTGTCCTCACAGGTAAGAAAAGAGCTGTCATGGGATTTTATCACCAGAACTACCAATCTGATGTTATACGAGCTTTCTGCATTGAATTTTCTTTTCTTTTATTTTTTGCTAGATATGCTCAGTGGATGCACATGTGCCATTATTTCTATTATTTATTCGATCTATTAACTGTCTCTTGAATTGTTCAAACTGTCATCAGCATAAGCAGATTGTTCTATATAGGATTTCTGAGGATTAGAGCATTAAACGATAAGAGCCAGAGTTCACGTATAGTTATCTCTTTTTAATGGTTTGGGTAATAGTTTTGTGTGCCTCATCCTCCCCGTTGATTGTTTGAAGACCTTCAGTGTTGTGCAAGCAAGGGCATTTGTATTACTTTATACAAGTAGTTTTGATTGATGACAACCTGCTGCCTTTATTACTTAGATCAATAGTTTAAAAATTTGATACTCCCTCTTCCTTGTTACAGTATTTATCTTTTTTGTCATATAGTCTTGTTTTTCCTCTAATTATTGAGTACTTTTTAACTGAGGCAGTGTATTTCCTTTTGAGTCCAGATAGTGAAGAAAAATGGGCTCAAATACTCCTTTTTATTTGCTAAATATCGGGAGCTAGCAAGGAAACTAGACTAGAAGAGAAAGGATCTCTCTGAACTATAGAAAATAATGGCCCAACTAATATGATATTGAGCAGCTGTTTTCATTGATCTTTATTCTCAAAATGCTGCATTGGAACTATTTTTGTTTTTCCTCATAGCATCTGACTTCTGCTGCCTTTGCCTTCTTTTTTTTGTTACTTAACTGACCTTTGTAATTTGGACCCTCTTTGTCCCTGCAGTGCTAACAGTATTATTTTAGGTTGTGTGAGAGTTAATGACTTTTAACTTCCTTTTAAATTTGACCATGTTTGAAGAAAATAAATCTTCTGTTGCCTTTGAAGTTTAGAGCTTGTGCTGTGCATTTTTAACAGCAACACTGAGAATGGAAACATTTGTAGAGAGAAAGCTTTGGAAATAGGTGGAATTTGCTTAATATATATAGAAGACAACTTCTCATCCTGTTAGAATTAATCTGTGTTAAATCAGTCAAGATTTTCCTCAGTGAATAAAAGCTTAGATAACCCTGCTCTTGAATCACCATAGCATGCATTAGATATAAATATATTATTTAAATACGATGATGAAATTTTAAGTAACACAATGAAAATACTTTCAAGCCAGCTTTGGTTCTGCAGCCTTTCAGCCTTCCTTGAACAAAGCCCTGAGCAATAGTGATCCCTGACCAGATGAGAGATTGGTCAAAGTAATACAGATGGACTAGGAATGCTGACCAAGACTGTCTCTCTGTCCTCCCTCTGACCTTTCCTTCTCCTCAGTTCTCAACGGCTGCCTTTCCCATGTGTTCGACTCATTTAATGCAACACCACTTTTAGATCCACTTTCATGTTTTAAAAGGCAAAGTTTAAATGAAAGTTGTTAAAAAGAAGAAACTCTCCCAACTTGAAACGCATTTTCCAGGGGAGATTGTTTTGGCTCTGGTTGTGAAAGATCTTTAGCCTAATGCTCATGGGGACTAGGAGTTCTGGAGGAGAGATACCACGTATGCTAAACCTGATTTAAGAAGCGTCTTGCACTGGGCTTGACTTTGATGGGAAGATAGTAAGTTTTCATTGCTCATACTGCTGAGTATATTAATTGTTCTCTTTTGAGAACATTTACTTTTTTGGAAGTGACATGCAAAACATTTTAATAATACAAACAAGTAGTACATCTTTGTGTTATGTAATGCAGTGAAATAGCACTTAGATGAAATACATCCTGAAATATTTTTCTTTCCATGTTTTCTTCTAAGCAGTTTTTTTCTTGATGTAATTATGGAGAATTATTTATAAATCTAAAAGAATAAGCATCAACTATAAAAGGGATTTGAAAGGAATTTGAAAAGAATACTTTTAAGTTAGAGCTATTAGAAATGATTCCGGGTGATATGTCATTCTTTACTTTTATGATAGATACAGCTATAGTACCACTGCTTATTTTAAGATTAAAGTTTCTGTTCTTAATTTTTGGCTTCTTTGAGTACTTAGCTGCAAAGGATCACTTGCCAGCATCTTTTTGTTACTACTTTTGTGCTTTAGCCAAATGGTAGGTGTATATTTATATGTTCCTTAAAGGAAATGAAGTGAAAATTTTGTTTCACAGAATATCTGAAAGTATGTAAATGACTAACGCCCTCTTCAGCATAAAGAATGCATGTATTTTTACAACACTTTTAAAAACAACTGCATTTTCTTGGAGGTACAGTTAAATGATGCATCATTCGGGTCCTTTAGCAAATATAGTTTAATTAGTACATACATGTATTTTAAAAAGAGTAATTAAATAAATTTCTCCAAACTGTTAGCCATGTTATTGTATAAAGTCTTAATGTGCAAGAAATCTTGAGGGACATTTTTGTTTTGTTTGGGGGCCACATCTGGTAGTGCCCAGAACTTGATCCTGTGTCAAGGATCACTCCTGGCAGTGCTCAGGGGGACTATGTGGGGTGACAGGGATCAAACAGGATCACTTAGGTGCAATACAAGTGCTTTAACTCATCTCTCCAGTCCCAACAGGTTATTTTCTCTGCACAATTTAAATTTCTTTCCACCATTTTTACTGAAGTACTGGCATTTATAATATTGTTAATTATACTTTTGATGCATACATCGTTCCAGCACCATACCTGTCACCAGAGTACCCACTTCCTTTCACCTATGTTCCAAGGGCCCCATATCCCCTCCATGTAAATTCAGTTCTATGGACAAAATCTACAGTTCTTATGACATTGAACATTGATGTTGTCTTACTATGTTTCTTCTTATCCCACATCTCTGTAGAGGTAGCATCACCTACACGTATATAGATGAAATGAAGAGCTTAAATGATTGTTTACAAAATTATAACCCAATTGGTTTTATTTTTTTATGACACCAAAGTCCTAAACTATCAACCATAGGAGTTGGGGGTGAGTTTTGTTGTTGATTGTGGTTGTTAGTGGTGGTGTAGAAAAATAGAATATGAAAATTCTAAATCAGACTTTGTAAATTTATTTATGAGTGATTTTGGTGAATTATAATTAGGACTATAAAACTTTTATTTTGCTGTTTTTTCTAGTTTAAAAATATTTACTATGGAAATTGAACCAGGGAAAGCATGAAAAGGGAGAAAATCACTAGAAATTCTGCCACCTAGAGAGAGGATATTTTGGCATGTTTAATTTCAATGTTTTGTCTTAGTAGTATTTTACTTGAATAGATTATTGTGAATAGTCCTTTGAATTTCATTTTTTCATGTCTTTTGGAATTGTGCTGCTTTATTAGTGATAGCACCAACAGATGTGTTGCATCTCTCCATGCCTCACTCATTTATATGAGGATTGAGAATGAGGAACGTACATTTAGAAGAACTGAGGCATATTTAAATTAAAGGTGCTTGGCCAATGGGATTTTCATTGGAGAATGTAGAGATGTTTCTTAATCATGTAAAGGGATTATGTGGGACAAAATGTTTTGTTTAGTAATATTTAACTTGAATAGATTATTGTGAATAGTTCAATTATTATTACTAGCTAAATCAGTACTTATCAAGGAGATGATAGTGTTTATCTTTGGAGGTGGGTGGTGGTCATAGTTGACTCATGGAGAATGGTATGAGTGTTGTTGGGGTGTGGAGGTCGTGGGGAAGTTCCTTTTGTTTGCTTAAAGAAGGTGGTTTTTCAGGGGATCACTGAGTGATTTATTTTGTTGACCGGATAATTTGGGGAACCCCAGGCCTAAAAGTTTTTTTTATCTTCATAGATTGCCCCCTTTCTGGTCTTTTGGCTTGAAGGCAAGTGGTTCCCCCCCCCCCCCCCCCCCCACACACACACACACCCATTGGTATTTCTGGGTTGCCAGTTTAGGGACTTACACAGAAAACTTTTACCTAGGCTACTGTGGTCCATAGCCAATCTATTTTCTTCTGTTGGTCATTGAAAGTTGTTTTATGTTTATTTTATATATGATGTCCAGATTTTTTGTCACTTGAAGGGAAAAATCATTAATAGAATAAAATCATTAATTTTAAGAAGTAGGGCTCATAAAATTATTGTAATTACATGGAATCAGTTATTACTCATGCATGCCCTCTCACGATTAAAGAGTTGGGTAAAATGGTTTTCTTTTTTTTTGGTTGCACCCAGCAATACTCAGGTGTTACTCCTGACTCTGTGCTCAGGAATTACTATTGGTGGTGCTGGGATTGAACTCAGGTCGGCGACATGTGCAAGGCAAACATCCTACCCGCTGTATTATCACTCCAGCCCTCTGAACAGAAATTTTTGTGGTACACTTATTCTTATAAGTCCCCTTGATAATTAAATTTAAGCAACTAGAGTTATGGAGGGTGATACTGATCCGAAGAGAAAATACAGTTGCTTAATGTTGTCACTTTAAAACTCAAGTTAAGTGGCTGGAGACATAGTATATTGGGTCAGGCACTTGCCTTGCATATCGCCAACCCAGGTTCAAACCCTAATTTTGAGCACGGAGCCAGGAGTACGGCCAGATGTAGCCCCGAAAACAAAAATAAAGGCAAAAAAAAGAATGAAAATTCAATTATTATCTTTAGTTTTTATTAGTTGAAATAATTGTCACTAAAAGTAAATGTTATCTGTGGCTTCTGGTATGTCAGTTGATAACTGGTAGAGAAGGCCATGGTCTCTTCGTTCACGCTCTTCTTCATTGTTCATCAAGCCCATTTACTCATTGGCACAGACAAAAGATCAGAAGTAGTTCAGTAATCAGTATTTTCCTAGTTTATTTACTTTACAAGAATTATTTTTGTAAATCATTACAAAAATCATTTTGTAAAGCATTGAAGATTTAGCATGAGGTTATTATTATTTAAAAAGTAAGCTATGATTGTGTTGGCTTTGGGGTCATATTCAGCAGTGTCTGACTCTGAACTCACAATGTGCCTTTCAAGAGTTGCC